CCCCCCGAACAGGATTAGAAGCCGCGATTGCTGTGTGCTAGCGGTTGAAGTCAGTGTGCCCTTCACACCGCGCATACACCGTGAGTTTTGACAACTGACACTGACGAAAACATTCAATCCATAGGATTCCGGTCCTTAGTCCCGGTATTCACTCGATCGTTGACCGTTACAAACTTCGCCGACATTGGTCACTCCTACCCACCCCAAAGACTGCAGGTTAAGAAGTTCCTGGTCCGTGCGTCGGGCTACGGTATGAAACTTGTTAGGAGTTCGCCAAGTTCAATGCCGCTTACACCGCCTGAAGCTCTAGATTGTTCTTAAGAACCGGTTCTACACCGGCCCTGGGCGTTTGAACTCTGCCATATTCGTTTCTTCAGTTTATCGAGTACTCTGCTAATGATGAGGAGGATTATAATTATGACTGAAGAGGAAATGGCAGTGGCCTAAGGCTTTCAAATATTGGGATTGTTAGAGTTTTAGTTTCAACTTACAAAACCCGTAGTCTGAGGAATCAAGGCCTCAGTTGAACATTCAGCGTCAGTAGCATCACTGTACATAATTTTGAATAATTTCACATGCTCAGAAGGAGTCACCTTAATACTGTATTGATTAAATTAAGAAGAAACAGAATTCTGATCTAACCTTTTTATTGACAGATCTCCAATCGAAAATGCAGCTCAACTAATGAGAAATGCAACATTCTGGTAAATAACCTGTATGTGCTGTCTGACATAAAACACCGTTATGCTAGAACTGTGGTCTACAGCAGAATTGAAAACACAGGGGACACCTCAGACCAGGCCTTGTTCAGAGTGACACTGCCTGACACAGCTTTCATCACCAAATTCCTTATGTGAGTTCAACTTTGTCCTAAAATTGAGATCTATAAGCCATTGAATTCTGCACATTACATATCTATGTACCACTTTCAGAATTAAATTGTAATGTTTCTCCCCATCATTTTATTCATCCTTACTATAATTCTTTCTTTCTTTATTCGTTGTTGTTGTTGTTATTATTATTATTAATAATAATAATATTAGTGTGCTGTATCGACAGCCAGAAGGCTAATTACAGATACAGCACAGAGATGAGCACACGAACACAATAATAAATATAGAAGGTAATAACAAACAAAATATAAAAATACATTAGTGTGGAGGATGCTAATACACAAAAAATTCTACTAAATACATGAGTATATTTATAATAATAATTTAAATAAATTAAGGAAATTAGTCTATTACAGAATGTGAAGAAGTGTAACAATTTTTGTCTCGAATATGTCCAAGTCCCTGCAGACAAAATTAGCAGCTGATGCACTTCTAGCAGAATGACTGTTTTTTAAAATAACAAACAAAATATAAAAATACATTAGTGTGGAGGATGCTAATACACAAAAAATTCTACTAAATACATGTTAGCATATTTGTAAAAATAATTTAAATAAATTATACTATTATAGAATGTGAAGAAGTGTGACACGTTTCGTCTCGAATATGTCGAAAACCCTGCAGACAACATTAGCAGCTAATGCGCATCTAGCAGAATGACTGTTTTTGATCAAAGGGCTAACACTGAACATAGAAAAATCTCTCAGATTCCGAGCAGGGGTGTGGAGACCGACAGCTTCCAGAAGGGAAAGATAATAATAATATGTGCTCAGGATAATATTTAAAACTAAGGAGGACAAATTGAGTGGTCTCAGGATCATAATTAAAGAGGAATTCTGTGGATTGTACAGGGGTCTGTTATCCACTAGGCATGTGGATGTGAAACAAGTTATGTACAAAGAATTTCACTAAGGAAACCTTTTGGAAAGTAAAGGCTTTGATATCAGTGGTGTTGAACCTTTGGGTTTAGGGAGTTACTTAATTAGTGATAATAATTCTATGGTTTCTTAGTCAATTTGTATCTGACTCATTCATAGGAATAACCACCATGTGAAATGATTATATTAATAATAACAAGCAGCGATAATGGCAGTTCTTTTATATTTGTCTGACATAATGTTTTATTCATTCACTGAAAATTTGATAAAGTAATTACTTCTGTTCCTATTGAAATAATTTTTTGTGTTATAAGTTTTTATCCTGTACATTATCATTTAATAGAAAACGCTGTTAACCACACTTTTTTATTCCTGTGCTTAATGAGACTTTCAGAAGTCAGATGTTGTTTTGTTCTGTATGTTAATGTTAACTTATAAATTAAATTTTTGGGATCTTGGAAATGGTTACTGTAATGTGCCAAGATATGGTAATACATGTTTCATTGCACTGATAATGCCATGTACTAAACTAGAGGGGAAAAAAGGTAGGTTTATACAAGAACCATTCATAACAGCATTGAAAGTGTTCAGACAGGCTCACAAGATGTAGGTAACTTTTCAGTAATGTGTATTTCTGCTTATGTTTATGAGGTTGTGTTTATAAATTATATTGCAGGGAGATTGATGGGAAAGTGTATGAAGCACATATTAAGAAAAAAGTTCAAGCAGAAAAAGAATACCAGGAGGCTTTAGAGTCTGGCCATACTGCAGCACATGTTGGTACCAGGTAAGCAGTTGATTGGAAGAAGAGAGATTTATGTAACTCATATATGTGAGTAGATTAGTTCACATGCATTGTATTGAAGTAAGGTCTAGAAGTATGTGTTTTAAATTATACAAAATATTGGTTATACCAGTGGTAAAAACGTACACAGAATGACAGAAATAACAAAGAATAAGGAAATGAAGTAGCAGAGATGATAGCTACATGGAGAAATGAATGGACAAAAATAAGTACTAAAGTACATGTGAAACTTAAGTCTGATAATATAGTAGAGATTCCTTCATGTAGGAAGATATGGAAAGATCAGGTATAAAGAAGGTCAAAGATCAGGGATAGCCCTAGAATGGAGCAGCTGCCCAGAGTCCTGCACTTGAGGGAGTGCCACACATTACAAAATATATGCTACTTACTGTACACCATCCTTGCTTTCAGAGTAACAAAATCATATATTAGTTCTTTTGATTCCAGTTACTGAACCAATTCATATCAATCATAAATCTGTATTAGTCAAACTGTCTACATTTCTATCTTCATTCTTTAGTGATAACCATAATTATTACACTTTTAAAATCTACATTTTCCACTTGACAACTAATGGGAAGGAATAACATTGTTACCAACATAGTGACTGAATTGGTATGGGCTCTGCATAGATTGATTTTCCCTGGGCCTGCATTTCTGTAGTTGTCCTGGGAAAAATATATGGAATTATAAGATTATGGGGTACAGAATGAGGATAAGACAGAAGAGATGATGGAAAAGAGAATTTCAATTACAGAATTAAATTGTTTCTTATGTGAATACAAGGAAAAGAAGAAGAGAAAGGTATTTCAGAGCATTGCCCTAATTTAGAAGTGAAATGTCTGGGATTACATGAAAAAATTGCATTCTTCAGACAAGACTTATTTGTGTGATGAAAGGCCAGACATTCAAGTCATCAGTGTGTATGATTTATGAACCTTAAAAGTATAGCTTTTATTAATTTATTTTTTATAACACTCCACACTAAAAAAATAATTTATTGATTCTTACATTGTTTGTTTATACTGTGTTGTCTGCCAGTTATATTAATTTCCCACCCTAATAATTTACTATTTCTTAAGATCCACCTTAATGCGATCTACCATCTTGTTTCCTGTTTTCCAAATGGCTTCTTTCCAAGACATTTCCTTGCCAAAACTCTATATACATTCCTTATCTGTCTCATGTAAGCTTGATGCCCTACTTATTGCTACCTCCTTATTTCAGTGTAATATTACTAGATGATCCTTGTAAATAACAAAATTCCAATCTTATAAATTTATAATCATGTAAAATGTCTAAGCTAGAAGAGATTGGAGACTTGCCCCTTAACCCATATAAAACAGAACAAAGCTAGAATAAGGTGACTACAAAACAACTTGAACTTTAGTTATCTTCTTCCTAAGATGTTTCCACTTTTTAATAATATAGTATGAGTGAGGAGGTCCAGTCAAAGAATGTGGGTATTATTTTTTTAGTGCACGGGATTCTAACATGTTTGTGGTGTCAGTGAATGTGGCAGCAAGAAGCAAAGTGGCATTCAATTTAACTTATGAAGAGTTGCTCACTCGTCGGCTGTCTGCTTATCATCACACCATTACTCTCACACCAGGACAGGTATTTGCCATAGATTGATTTCTGTTACACAGTATTTAATTACTCTTATTAACTGCTGATGTTATTATAAGTGAGAAGGTGATTATGAATATTGAGAAAAAGTAAAAGTAAAGCTGTCCCACTGCATGCCATGTAGGTACTTGTGGGGAGAAAAGGTAGGCTGCTACTCATTCATAACCTCGGCACTAGATGAGGTTGAGTGGTCAGCATCATGCCCCTGCCATGCTTTACTCCTGGGAAATGACCCCATTACCCACTGGACAGGAGGCTGGGTGGGTCCCAGATACAGTCTGGATGTAGAGGCTAGAGGAAAAATCCTCTGCCCCTGTTGGAGATTGAACCCCAGTCAATGAATGATAAATTGGAAAAGATATGGATGGAAGTTGCTCTCGTTTTCTATCTTGAGTCGATTAATTTAATTTATTGTTACAATAAATTTCTTATTACATTTATTCCTTGTGTTTTGCAAATGATCTTTATAAAGTTCTTCCTCCAAATTTTTTTAATCCTTTCTTGTTTTCTGAGGTGTTCTACATGTCCACTTTATTATAACTGATACTGCACCTGTTGAAATATTTGTGTGTTCTTTACTCTTTGTGCACAAAGTGATTGTGTAATGGAATGGGATATGTTTGTACATCCATTCATCTTTTCATTCATCTACCTTATCAATTTAGACCCATTTTTATATGTAATTCTACAATAGGTATATCCAGCTGACTTCCCTTTTGTAGAACTCTTGGTTTTGAAACAAGCATGAAAGAATTTTTATTTTAATAAAAAGCAATGTGTGACTTGTTTTGCAAATCAGTTAATTTGATATTGCTGAAACGTTTCTTCAGCAACTGCAGTATTGTTTTCCTGCTTGCAGGCTGTGCAAGACCTTAATGTAGATGTATTTATTCAGGAGATAAGAAACATCACACTTCTAAACGTAACAACTTCTGATGATAGAGGAATTTTACAATCAGGTAAGTTGACAAGAATATGTGTATCTGTCCACAGGTCACTTTTGTATAGGGTCTTCTGGCAGCACATGGTATTTTAATCACTAATGTTGGCCATGAGTTGACGCTGATTTTATTGAATAGCAACATTGTGCAGTTTCCTAGACACTCTTCTCTTCCATGAAATTTTCATATGACTACCAGTATCAAACCATAATAGTTTTGAAATGCAAAGGAATAGAAAGGTAGAGATTACTCTCATTGTGGTTTTGTTATACATAGCATACAAGGGACACATATTGGTGTCTCATAGTTAAGAATCAGTGGGAGTTTTAATGATGGTATAATGGTGTGCATATTAGGTTTGTATGCGAAGTGTTCTGAGTTCAGTTCCAAGCCACTAATCTTGACAAATATAACAATAAAATACCTCTCATTACGAGACAACCAAATATATGAAGATAGGAGTAAGACAATTTACTAGGAAGAGTATGACAACTAGAATGATATGTATGTAAGAAAGTCCTACATAATTCAAATGTAACTTAATCTGCTGAAAAGTTAATTCCCTCCACAATGGTTGTAAAAGTTATTCCACTGTAACTTGGTTCTTCTGTCATTATATTATTTCATCCATTACACATGTAGTGTTTATACTACCATTACTATTTTTTAATTTGGCATTTATTCTACACCAGACATATTAACAATACTGTCATGTCTAAGTTCTTCTGGTAGCAACATTTTACTCAAAATGAGTGTAATGTTCCTACTCTTGTGACTTTTCTTGTGGAAATAATGGTATTTCCTCCATGCCCAATTTAATGACTCAGTTTTATAGAGCCTCTTTTTTAAAATAAAGTGGGCTGCACCATATGAAGATGATGTTGATTTTCAAGTATGAGAGGCTTGAGAAATATAATTTTGACTGCAGCAGATGATGAAGTCTTGGTGGAGTACCTGTCTCCACTGTCAGCTCATGTGCACTATGCCCCAAGTGAAAGCAAGCAGCAGAGTCGGCTGGGGTTTGGATTGCAGCAGCTTATTATAGAATATGATGTAGACAGATCAATAAGTCCTGCAGGTGATATCATGGTAAGCCACCAGGAATTTACATTTGTAACACTTTGCTGGATACTTTATCCTCATTTGTGATCCTGAAGAAGTTCCTTCACAGCTGAAATGAAATCCATTTCTGACATCAGTTAACGATTGTATTTTGCAGTTCATGGATGGATACTTTGTCCACTTCTTTGCTGCTGAAGATGTTCCTCCACTGCCAAAACATATAATCTTCGTTGTAGATACAAGTGGTTCCATGTGGGGCCGCAAGCTTCAACAACTCCAACAGGCCATGTACTCCATCCTTGACAGCCTCAGGGGGGATGATTATTTTAGCATCATTCAGTTTGGTACAAATGTTGTAGTAAGTTGTTTCATCTCATGATATACAGAGTTACTCAGAAAGAAATTGAAAGAATATGTTTGCAGATAATAGCTTGGCATGCATAGTCACAAGATGAAGATTATGACAGCCTTATGTTTGTACTCACACACACACACACACATGCGTACTAACATGCATAACTTCATAGTAATATTTAATTGTATGTACCATAAGATACTGAATTACATGTTATTGTGCCAACGCTTAGAAAAGTTTGAGATACAGTGGATTAATCAACTACACATTTTAATTATTTGACAATGCTAGCAGAAACTGTTGTTAGATACTGAATCATTGTTTCTGTTTATCTAGGAATGGTCAAATCGTCTACAGGACATGGTCGGACTCAACAGATACAGCATGACACATGAAGCTTCGGAAACCAACATTGCTAAAGCTAAACAGTTCATAAAATCCATGGAAGCTTCTGGTGGTATATTTAATTTATTAGCTAACTAAATCTTAAGTTTATCTTAAATAGTAAGTTGAGGTTTGATCCCAGTGAGCAAGGTAAATATGGCCCTACCCTAGCCAATGAATGCACTCTAAATGAGAATGTATGAAGTCAAAGCTCAGAACATCAGCTATTGACTTTTACCATTAATGACTCATTATACATCAAAGTTGAATAGAACCATTTTATTTTTTGTTTGCTTTGTTAGTTAATGTTGTTCATATAATTCCAATTGTTGTTCATTATAACAAACAAATACACATATGTAAATTCTGTACTAATCTTTATTTACTGTTTTTTATATATGTATCATATTCAGTTGGTGCATTTCTATTTATTGATTTAAAATGAATGGCAAATTAATTTTAGTTTAATAAATAGCTTCAAGGAATGCATTCCTTTCAGGTACAGTTATGACATTTTGTATATAAAGCATTAAAGTAACATATGTGCTATTGTGTGTTGTAAATTTAATATAACGATTTCATACTATGGACTAAGCTGTTTATGAATTTCAGGCACCAATATCAGTGGAGCATTGAGAAAGGCACTGCAATTGGCTGCCAAGCAGCAGTTTGGTGCTCATGCTGTTGATGCAACTGGTGAAAATAGCAATTTAAGATCAGAAGATCATCCAAAGCCCATGTTAATGTTCTTGACTGATGGAATTGCAACAGCTGGTGAATTGCTGTCATCTAAGATCTTGGCACAAATACGAGCTCTCAACACAGAAATTAGGGTAAC